TGCACCGGACCACAGGAGACCCGACCCGGGCTGGAGACGTCTGGTGTCCGGTAGAACAAAAGCTGGAGCCGCAGACCAGAGCAGAGACGGTGGATCAGCTTCAGATGGGGGTGTTTGATATCAGCCCCCCAAAACAGGATTTAACTGTTTCTGAAGACTTTTTTAAAAAGATTAGTTCAATTAAAGCGAGATTAAAATAACATTTAAAGGGTGTAAAAACAGCGGTGCTCCAGACTGACTCGTCTGATTCCTTTACTGTTCTAAAGGTTTTTCCTCTGATTTGTGAGCGGGGGCCTGTTTTTGCCCCCAGGTGACCCACTCCCGTAAAGCCCGGCTGCAGACGGACTGACCCGGGGACTGACCCGGGGACTGACCCGGCTCCTGTCCGCAGAGAGAGGGGCCCTCAGGCCGGATCATGGCGGGCCGGAGGAGCAGCTCCGGTTTCTGACCAGAGGGAAGTAGCTGGACCGGACACAGCCCCCCCTTTGTGGCCCGGCGCAGGAATGCGATTCAGCAGAGATACAGAGGGTTGTGTGGGGGTAAGGTACACCGGGCCGGGGGGTGAGGAGGCCGGGGGTGGGGGGGGGGGGGCAGCTCTCTGCTCCTCTATGAAGCCTCTGTCCAGTTTCCCCTGAAAGCAGCCGGCTGCTGCACACCTGACAGCAGCAGGTCAGCCCAGTTTCAGCTCCGCTTCCACAGGGTTTTCCCCAGAAAGGCCCAGTCTAAAGTGTGTTTCAGGAGGGTTTTCCCCAGAGTCCCGGTCTGTTTCCTGGCTCCTTAACGGTCAGCTCCTCTTCAGGTGGAGAAACCCTGAAAATCCTCCCTCAAAAGCAGCTGAACCTGGATTTTAGGTTTTATGACCTCAGTCTGGGGCTTTGAAGCCGAGGCTGACTCTCACACTCAGCTGCTCAGTTCTCTGGAGAAAAAGGACCTTTTCCCTCTGGAGGGATTTGTATATTTTTCTGATATTCAGAAATGATTGAATTAGTTATATTCTTGGAAATGGAAAATGAAGCTTTTTAAGATGTCAGTGTTTAAAGCCAAAGGATTATTTCTGAGAGGGTTCAGCTCCACAAATGAGAAAAGGACGGGCTGATGCTGAACGGGGCTCTTCAGGGAGGAAATCTGAACGGCTTCTTTGTGTTCATGCAAAGGAAAAAGAACAAAACTAAAGGAGCTGTTTTTATATTTCTGCCCTGTTTGAATTAGAATTTTCTGATGCCTGAACAATCTGTTAGCTCCCCATTTACCCAGGACCATCTATTTCAGCCCAGTGAGAAAAAAAATTATATCTTTTTTGGAAGTTTGGACATCTACACGTTAAATAATTTCTGGGATTATTAAATTAATTCTGATTTTAATTCTGATAAACATTTTTACTTGAACGTGTGTGTCCCTCTAATGTGAAACAACGAGCCCCCGTCGGGCTCTGAGATGAGTTCATATTCAGGTTTAAATCGTGATCATCTAAATAAACTGACTCTTTATGGATAGCAGCTCAAACATTACAGCATTAAACCGGTAAATTGTTGTTCTTCTGTAATTAACTCAGAGTCTGAGCTGCTCTGTTTGGAAATGTTGTTGGGATGTGGAACAATAGAAATAAAATGTAACAGAATTGAATTAAGTGAAGCTGAAACCTGAAGGTTAGAAACGGCTCTCTGCATAAATTAAATCAATTCTGAAACAGATACATTTGTGGTTGAGCTAAAAAGACTAATTAAACTGCTTATTCTAAACAGCATCCTCACATTTTACCACAACGGGAGTTTTGGCTGGTCAGAGGCTGTGGAGGCTGAGCCGGCAGCAGCCCGGCCGGGAAGGAAACCCTAACCTCATTTAAATGGGAGAGAATCAAGGAAATCTGAATTCAGACAAAACATCATTTTCCTTTTGGTTTGTGACTTTTTTTTTAATGTGAGGATGGAAATAATAAGAAAGGTAAAGCCATGTAGCTAACGATGACACACTGGAACAAATGTTATCCAAAAATAAAATAAAAAAATCCATGTGAACTGAGCTGTAGTTTCTGGGACATTTCTGTGTTTTGTGCTTTTTTTAACTTTTAATTTTAAACACACCTTTTAACAATTTGTGCTGGTGGCATCATGACGATCTTATTTATGTGGCTTGAATAAAATAAATTTCTCTTTAGAATTCAGTGCCTAAAACAAAATGAAAGGCAAACATTGGAGCAATTATTGTACGTTATTAACATATTTTGAATTTCTTTTAGTCAAAGGAGAGAGATTCTGGACAAATCTAAAACAATTTATTTTTCAGAAGTCAATTGGAAATGACTCTCCTGGACAGAATTCAGCAGCTTATTTTTTATTACAGTCTAAATTTCACATTAGTGGAGATTATGGGCTGGCAGCCTGTGAAGCAGAGGGTCAGCCGCCCGGATTAGGCCTCCGTCATGGACAGAAACATCTGTAGTTGGTCGGGGCTTTAATTAGAAGCAGCGGCAGCGTGTATGAGGGGAAGCGGCGTGTGGGGTCACATGGGTCACCGGCCCGGCAGCCATTGGCCACCGGCTCGTCCTGAGGACCCGTCTGCAGAGCTCTGACCGGCTGGACCGGCTCTACAGAAACTAATAAACAACCTTTACAACCCCTGGCCTTCCTGTGGTGCTTCTCAGTTAGTTTCCCTCCAGATCACACTGACTCCAGACACATGGAACTCTGTCCTTTCATAAGTAAATGATTCAAGTGTTTTAATCAGAAATACATTAAAGATAAGAAATGCATGTTTTAGTTTAGTTAGTTTAATCTAATGAAAAGATTCCCTGTGAGACGGAATATTTTGGAGTGTGGTCAGAATGTTCCCAGTTTTCAGGCGTTTGGGGACAGAAACGGAGGCTTTTCTCTGTGAGCTCAGCAGAGTGCTGCTCCACAGGCCGCCAGCAGGGGGCGGCGCTGAGTTTGGCTGGATGGAAACAGCCTCTGCCCGGTCCTCTGCCCGGTCCTCTGCCCGGTCCTCTGCCCGGTCCTCTG